TATATGGTGAGAAAGGGTCAGAGAGCTCTCATGCGTTACTTTAAACAATGGCACTAATCCTATCATGGGTCCCTATTCTCATGCTCAATCCTAATTTCCTCCCAAAGGCTCCATTTCCAAATACCATTGCACAGGGGGCTAGGATTTCAATATATGAATTTTGGAGGGAAACAAATATTCAGTCCATAACAGACATGATAATTATTTTTCAAGTAGAGTCTTATCTTTGCCTAGAGCTGGCCTCAGGACACTGTCATCCCACATACAGCCTCCTGTGTAGCTTGGATCACAGGCACATGCCACCAGGCTCAACTTACTGATTTAGATCAGGTCTTGCTAACTTTTTGCTAAGGTCTTGGACCACGATAGCCCTGATCTCCATCTCTCAGGTAGCTGGAATTACAGCTCACTGTGGTTTCAACTGAGACTCTCCTAATGATTGATGATAATTGAACATCTTTTCTTATGCTTATTGGCCATCTGCATATCATCTTTGAGGAAATGTCTACTCAAGGTCTTTGCCCATTTTTAGTCAAGTTATTTGTTTTTTGTTGTTGAGCTGCAGAAGTTCTTTATATATTCCGGACATCACTGCCTGATCAAATGTATGATTTATGAATGTTTCTCCCATTCCACAAGTTGCCCTTTCGCTCTGTTGACTGTCCATTGATGCACAGAGCTATAAGAATATTTTTGAGACGGTTATTGACTATATTACACAGTATCTGCATGGGTGAGATGGTTACGTGGTCAAGTGCTTGTCTAGTATGTACAAGGCCTTGAGTCCCAGGCCAAGCAACACACACACACTCACACCACACGCACACACGCATACATGTACACACACATGCAAAATTGTAGAAAGCATCTTATTCATAAGGACAAATGGGAGAGAATTTTCTTAGGCTTCAGTAGCATGAATGGTTAGTTTCCCATGAAAAACTGGTTTTCTGTGATTCCATGGATGGCAGTGGCAACTGACAAAAAGCTCAATTGTAGCACAACCAGAATGACAATGCAAAACCTCAAAGCTGCATCCTGTGCCGGAGGTTTACGTTCTTCTGACATTGTGTTCTCTTCAAAATGCTTTCCCATGCACTTCTTTGAAATGTTTCATATTTTGGATATTTTTAGATGTATACCTAAGATTATTTTTAGTGGGAAATTATTTTTAAAAGTTACTGAAACCATCTGAATTTTACAAGGAAAGAAATTAAAACTCAGCATCTGTAAATAATTTCCTGGGGACCACATGGTTAGTGAATGGCAGTAGCTAAGTTTCAATTCAAAGCCTATCTGTGGATTTATGACAATACTAGGCTGCTTCTTTACTCAGTGAACACAAAAACCCACAATGTGTAGTAAGAAGTGTCATTTGATACAGTCACCATATCCTCCAAGAGATCACAGGAAGTGAGATCACTCTCTGAAAGGGTGACCAGAGAAGGCCAGAGCTCAAAGGAGTGATAACAGTCAGAAAGAGAAGAAACAGCTTGAACAAAAATGTGAAAATAAATAAAAATATGACCTGGAAGTAGTATAGTCTGGCTGTTTTGTTGAGTATAGTACAGAGTTCAAATAGACATGAAGAAAAAAAATAAAGCCTAAGATACAGACGTGAGCCACAACAGGGAGACTTAATGCTAGTGTTAGAAATCTGTACTTAATTTGGCAGTTAGCAAAGAGTCCAGGAAATATTTTCAGCAGAATTCTGCACTGAGAAGATTCTGTGGGTGGCTTAGGTAGACTCAAGAATTAGGCACTGTGAACACAATTTATTGAAAGGGTTCTCTTAAGTGAAACTTGTACGAGAGTGAGGGGGGTAGGAGAAGACAGAGAAGAAACTAGGCAACAATGTGGGTTCAGTCTGATACCATAGAGAGCTCTGGAGGGTGAATCCAAGCATCTCTGGTGACATGGCTGCCATTGGGTAAGACAAAGCCCAAGGAAAAGGCTGAGCTTGTAAACACCCAACACTCACAGTAGTTGAGATGAATCACACTGCCCTAGTAAAGTCTGCTATACAGCATTCTGAAGAGCAGATTGGAATCATGATTATATATATAGAGCCAGTCTATCATGATCCAATATAGTCAGCGTGTGTGTGTAGTCAAGAGAACTACCTTCTGAACTTGTATTGTAGCTGTGTAGACAGAATAATAACTTCTCATATATGTCCACATCCTAACCCTTACAACTATGAATATATTACATATTACATACAGGGCAAAAAGAACTTTGCAAAATTAAAGTTAAAGACCCCAAGACAGGAAGTTTTTCCTGGATTAGCCCGATTTCCCCAATCTAATATAATTAACTTTATGGCTAAGTCAGAGAGAGAAGAGACATTGCAGTAATGTCTCTAGAAGTCTCTAGAAGGTGGGAAAGAAAAGAAAACAGATTTCTCCTAGAGCCTTCAGGAAAGAAAACAACCCCGAAAACACCTTAATATTTGCTCAGGGAAGTTCATATTGAATTTCTAACTATAGAAATATAATGTAAAAAATCTGTGTTATTATTTGTTTCACCTCCATAGAAAGCTAATACATTGGCTAAGGAAATGAGTTTAAAATTAAGGAATGATAGAGTTCCTACAATTTTAAAGTAACTTTAACAATAACATTACAGTTTGTTTTACTTCATTTTTTCATTTTAAGACAAATTAATAAAAATTTTTCAGAATTCATAAACTAACTTTAAAGGCCACAGGAACATGATTTCAATAAAATGACAGTTGAATTGGAATGATAGTAAAAAATCAATGTTTTATAAAAAGTGAATGCTCAAAATTGTTGAGGGATTAAGAGGAAGAAGCTGTATTTATTTTATTGCACTGAAGGTACAGATGCTAGGTCAACGCAAGCTGTAAATCATTCTTATTGGCTGGCTTTTAGCAGCTGCCTGAGCTTTGCTTTTTCTTAGTCAGGAAGTGAGCTTCATAGCTACAAGGAGGTTCTATGAGAAGGCTCTCCCACTCATCCAAGGGTGCTCTCCAGGCAGGCAAAGGATGGTGACTATGGCTCTGGAAGCCTGGGGTTCTTTTGCATTATTCGGCTCCCTTGAAAATCAGATGCAAAAGGAAGACTTTTTTTTTTTAACTGATAAATATTTTTTCAATTAAAAGATTAGTATGACAACTGCTGGTGTCTTCCTCAATGAAAATGAAAAGTAATAAACATGCAATAAATTTCAGCAATTTGCATGAAATTTTCAAAAACAGAAATATTAGGTAAGCAAATGAAAACTGGAGGGATCATGAAATTTTGTTACATGGACACTCCCCTGACAAAGGGCTGTGAATAAAGAGGGTATGAGGGGAAGATATCCTGAGGATGGTACTTGACAAGCATCAGGGAATCCATAATTTGTCCAGTGAAGGTTATATCCACTTCAGTACAAAGAATAAAGTTCTTTAGCTCACCATAAAGACACACCCCCCAATGACTCTGTAAATCAAAGCATAGGAAAAAGGGGAGGTGAGGGCCAAGCTGAGAAACAACCCTGGACAAGCTAATTTATGGTCAGTCAGGCAGCCAGGGTTTTGCAGAATACACTGGAAACAGCAAATGAATCTAGAAATGATGATGATGATGTCTTTGTACTTAAGATGAAGACAAGCCATGACCACAAAAGATGGAATTATTAAACTTCTACAAATTGTAAGGGAGTCATAGTCTAAGAAGGAGACCACATGAGCAAGACAGTAGAGGGCTCAGAGAGGGAGACTAGAAATGCCTAATAAAGCCTGGAGACCACACCTGACTCTCATCAGGCTTGCTGTTCTGTAGAGTCAAGATCTACTTTTGCAGAGTTCATAAGATAGCAATTAAGCTAACTTTAGAATATTATGATGGTTCACTAAAGGGAATTCATATTTAAAAATACATCCAAATACTTTTAGTGAGCCAGGAATGCATTCTTATGGTTCAAAATTTAAAAACTGTATTCTTATTTAAGGTATAATACTAACTTTATTGTTTTTATAAAAGTAATACAATTTTAAATCATAGTCTGCTATTTTAAAAGTCATGATTTATATGATCCCAATTTTGCACAATACTTTCTATTATTTTCTTTCTATGTATATATGTAACTACTAAGCCAAATTTCAGTATAGTTTTTGTTTAGAAGATGGCTGCACTGACATCCACCAAATATTGATGATGGCTATTTTTAAGTGCTTCATCCTTTTTAACTACATTTCTAATGCCAGATTTTCTTTCACCCAAAGAATATCATAACAGATTGAACACAGAAGCAGATATGAAATCCAACAGTTTTCAGTTGGGCCATATACTAACAATGTTTTCAAAAGTGTAAACGAGGCTACTTTCTCAATAATATTTTGTTTCCGAAAATAAAATATTTTCATAAATGTGCTATTTTGCCAGTGTAATAATTTTAGTCACTGCTATTTTTAAATAATGGTCACATGAAATTTTGGTCAGTTTTAATTTCTAACATGACAAACATCAATGGAAATAATGTACATAAAACAAAAGCTCTTTGAGATTCTTGATAATTTTCAGGAGTTATAAACAAGTCCTAAGACCCCCCAAGAGAGAAATTCTATCCCAGTAACTACTAAATGTATATCTCTACATCAATCTCCTTTGTGAACATCAACTTATATAGAAAAATTTAATAAGCAACTCAAAATAAGTACTAGTCACCATCACAACCACCACCACCACCATCATGAGCATTTAGAAATGGCCAAGTCCAAATAATTTACACAATATAATGTACAAATTGTTGTTTTAATATAGTTATTTGGTGACTACAGTGATTCTGTTCTCTCTAACCAAATTTTAAAGGCTTTGGCTCAAAAGAGTCAGATTATAGATATATACTTAATGCAATAATTTCTATGAAAGAATCTAAGCAAAATGTAAATGCCAAATGAATTATATTTGAACATTTTATGTGTCAGAAACTTTATACAATGGATTAAAACCTAATTTCTACATTTTTTTCATTAGATATATAGTTCAACTTACCTTATCAAGTTCATCTGAAATTGCAATACCTGGGATTCAAAAGAGATTTATAAAACAGTTTTAGAAGCAATCTTTAATAACCTAATGTTAAGAACAAAAACAAAAGTTCTGTTTGTAAAACTAGAGTATTTCCTATTCTTTCTTTGCATTTGTTATTCAAAATAATATAGCACATCCTTTCTGCTTATGAAGACAAATTAGTACTGAAGTCACCTCTGACAGCCATGAACTGCTGAAACAGAGCAAATGATGCAAGGAAAGCAACACAATGCCATATTTCTTGTAGGTTGTTAGAGACAGAACAAACGTGCAAATACAGTTGTGGAAATGTCTTTATGTTATGATGGCAATCAAATAGATACAATCTGGCTTGTTACAATTTTGTTCCTTTTTTTTTTTTGTGGCACTGGAGTTTGAGCTCAGGGCCTCACACTTGCTAGCAGGCACTCTTATTGCTTGAGCCACTCAGCTCTATTTTGCTCCTCTTAACAATTGGTTAAGACTCATAGAATAAGTATTAAGTCAGAATAAGTATGAAGTATAAGTATTATCAGAATGGTGTCTAAAAATCTTTTAATTTCCTTATTTTGTTTATGAGGAAACAGACTATGGAGTTTAAGATCCTTAGATGGACAGCTTCTTGAGCCAATGGATAAATGACACTTCCTCACAAGTTCCCCCTTCTCCACCATCCACATACTACTCATTGCATATCAGTCTGACTTGTCTTTGTCATTCCTCCAAAATTATTTGAAGTGTGCAATGTAAAAGGTTTTAGTCTTTTATTTCTCTGTGTATAGACTTTAACCCATTTTTTTTCCTTAGAACATTGTCCTCTTATTTCTGCTCTCTTTCTGTTTCCTTCACAGGTATTCTCTTTTTGGGGGTGAGGGAAGAAGAGTGTCTTTTCTTGAAATACTAAGGTTCTTTGCTAAGATATCTATTCTTCTCACTGGACTCATGTCCCTTTGTAATGTAGCCCACTCTGTTGACATGTTTATTTCTCTGCATGGTGATTTCCTGTGGTCATTTCAGTCTCAACATGTCAAACTAAAGGCATCACCCTCCCAGTTCTTTTTACTTTTTTTAAAAAATTTATTTTTGAACAATCATGTGCCTAGGGCTGAACATAGGCACTGCCACTGGGCACAGGAGCAGGTGTGGCCAGCCCTCAGGTTTGAGGCAGGGGGCAAAGATGAACTGGTATCAAACCCTAGTACAGTATGGACCAAGAGACAAGATAAAGCCTGAAGTTAAAAGTCTAAGGGAACACAGAAAAAATAAGAATAGGATTTGAGGCTGAAGTTCAGTAGATCATAAAAAGTAAGAAAGAATGAGTGAAATGAGCTAAGTCAGAAAAGAGAAACTAAAAATAATCTCAGGAAAATGAACCTGAGTAAAGAGCCAATCAAAGGTAGCAGTTCCCTCCGAGATTAGACACAGAATGTCTGTAGATATGGAGGGTAACTTTCTTGTTCCTTTTGCATTCCCCACAGCATTAAACTAAAGAACCATTCATACAAAGCAGGGAAAAAAGCCACGACTTCATCTCCTTGCAGACAAAACTAAAAAATTCAGGTATATTTAAGATACATTCTTCATAGCAATAATCTATGAAATTGCTTTTTAATAAAAGTTGTTGGTAACTAGGAAGTTTGATGTGTCACTATAGTAAAAAAGAGTCTACATTCCACTTCCGAGATTGAGAGGTGACCAAAGCTTAACAATTATTCAGGGAAGCACTGTATTGAGAAGGCAGAGCCTAAAACAATTCAAGGAGAAAAGACTCCATGGAGAGTAAGCATGGGAGCTGGATCACATCCCTGCTACCATGCCACAGTGGATAACTGAAATGTGATGTTTCCACGGTCAAGGAGGAGATGTGAAACTGATAAGAGAACCCAGAGCCTTCTGGGAAACTATAAACATTTCTAAAGGCCTAACAGAAGTCACAGATTTTTTTATGAATGTTCAGGCTTAAAAAATATATAGAATAACAAGTGGTCACTTTAAATAACTCAGATTTTAGGAAAATGTAGAAACTCTGGCATACCAAATGGTTAATGTCACAGTCTACAGTAAATTTAAAATTCATTATTCCAGTTTATAAAAGTCAAGCAATGTTTTAAATGTTTATATTTACATTTAATACAATTTTACAGGAATACTCCTTCCTAATATAAATTCAAGAGTAAGACTGAATATTTTATTAAACTACAAATATTTAAAGGACTTACTCTATTTTAAGGGGGACAGAAGGAGTAGGAAGTATGAAATAAAATTCTCTTTCTCATTCAAAGTCATAAAGCTTAGATAACTGGAATTAAATAAACCATGGTTCAATTGTCTGGAATTTGTGAAACTCTCTTGATTTTTTTTTAACTTGCTGCTCTAATACCTTGAATCTGAGAAAACAGTTTTCACATTCAATTTTTAGAAAGCTATGAGTTAATCTTTAAATTTCTTTCACACCTCAGATTTATGAATCCATTATTCATAAAGAGAGCAGCAATACATCACTTATCTAAAATATAGCCAAGAACTGGCAAGAAAGTGAAAAGAAAAAATCTGTGAATAGTCAAAATGTGTGTCTCACAGTACGAGCTCCATTCAGTTTTAGCAAGTATCATAAGCTGCTTCACAGGCTGAAGACTTCAGAAATGCAGAATGGAGAGGAAGAAAAATGCAATGCTGCTCTGAAGACATATTTCATATAAGAAGTGATACACCCCAGAGTAAAACTCAATCTCAGTAAATGGAAAACTTGGTTGAAGAAGGAATTATGCCTCTAATTATTCCAAGTGTTTGGTCTGACCATATTTTTTCAGATACCTATTATCATATTTTCTTAACATTTACATATTTTGATGACTTTGCCTAAGAAATTATCCCAATGAGTTTTCCTTCTGTTATATTCAATCCTTTCAGCTTTATACTACCAATGTCTACTTGCCTAGGGTATTTTTCACTTTTTCATTTCATTTTTAATCAACGCTTACACTGATTAAAAGTAGCTGAATGAATTTTAATTTAACACTTCCTCACAGAAGCATGAAGCTCAAGTGGGAACGATGTAAACTAAGTAGCCAGAATCTTCATCCTAGAGCCTAACAGAATGTCCACAGCTATTCCCCAAGAAGAGATTAACAACTTTTAGACATTTCACTAACTCTTAAAAACCCATTGTATTTTACATTCAGATTTTGAAGGTTATAGAGATTGGAGGTCTGTAGTAAGTAGAAAATATGCAAGAAAAAAACACATTGGGTCACTAGATGTATGAAAGGAAGGCCAGGATTTGAGTATGGGATGCTCGAGGTAGAAGGAAACACATCCCTTGTAAAAGTCAAAAACTGAGATCTTAAAGCCAATGTCCTATGGAGTAGATGATGGCATCCAATGGTAGAAGAGAGTTTTTTCAGTATTACTTTCTCTTCTAGATAAAAAGACAATGACTCCCACAGGAATGTCAGAGGTGGACTTCCTCATTCTGCTATAGGTCAAAACAATCTAGATGGTTTCCATTTATGTACTTCAATTTCTGGGCCTGCTCATTTATTCTAATCTCTACAGAAGTCTCAGTATTAGGAATTAAATTCCAGACCACAGTTTTCACAGTTTTGTCAAGGAAACAGCTATATGTTTCACCAAAACTTCCATCTTCCTAAGCACTGGCTAGAATTGAACTAAAGCTACAGGAAATGGAAGTGGAGACTTTTGACAATTCTCCCCACCATAGTACAATTCATTTCAGGAAAGTAAGTCAGAAAATTTATATGGTATGAAATGACACTAGTTATTTCTCTAAAATCTAGCTTCCTACTGGAAACCCTATAATATTATAGAACAGGAACTTAGACTCTTATCATTTTCCTCTTTAAAATTTTTCAAGTTCCAAAATAAAATACACTTAAAGAAATAGAGAATGGAAATATTGGTTTTGCTAGATTGGCCCACACTAGCTTGGAAGAACCAATTCTATACATTCTTTCCCAAAGTCTCATTCATTGAAGTCACACAGATGGCTTGAGATTAGCTACAGTGGTAATATTTACACCATGGAAATTGACGAATGCTACAAAACAGAACTTTTTTAAAATCAGTTTATACAATTAAGGATAATAAATAATGTTAAAGCAAGTACCTGTGGAAGTACAACCCACACTAACAAATGGGTAATCAACCTACCCCAGAACATTTGCCAATTATATTCTTTACATGGGCTGCTAATTGTTTTTTAGAGCAAACAGAATTCCTACTAGGAATTAAAGGATTCTATCCTCAGTTGGTTACCCAAGAACAAAAGTGAGAAAAGTTTTCAATAACAAATTAAAGAATAAAATTTTAGGTTTTGTAAGTCATATATTACCTGCCTTACCCATATATCCTTATTCTTCTTTCTAAGACAACAACTTAAAAATATGAGAATCATGCTCAGAATCTTAGCTACGAAACTGACAAGTTGAATTTGGCCCATGGGCCAGAGCTTGCTAATCCCTGTTAGAGAAGCACACATCAATTTTTTTCTTGATTATTTAGCTTATTGTTTTTCCAAGAAAACTTCCAAACTTTGTTGATTTTCATCAAGCCTCTCTGCCCACCTCCTTCTCTTGCTCATTGTAAAAGACATTAATTTTTGAAATTCTAAAAACTTTGAATCTATTTAATGAAAACTTTCTGGATTTCCTGACTCATCTTCCCCCTGAAGGAACCACTAATGCTGCTGCCTCTAGTTTCAGTTCTTTCTCCTAGGACGTCTAATTTTCACACTTGTTCCTTTGATTCATCCCTTTCTACCTTCTCTGGTATTTGTCCCATCTATCATCTTTCCTTTCCTGGATCTGCAAGTTCTTTATTTTGGTTTCCTCTTATCACCCTAAAGACCGTCACATATGCACAAACACACAGATTCACATCTTCTGTGCCTCTGTCTGCCTCTCTGTGTCTCTCTCTCTCTTTGTCTCTCTCTTTCCTTCCCTCTTCCCCTTCCTCTCCTCCACATAAATATAGGAAACCAAATTAAACAAGCTTTATCTTTAGCAGCCACTCTCACTTCTTCCTTTTCCATAAAAACTGTTCACAGGAGAGTCTGTGCTGCTCGCTGTTCTTCCCTCCTATCCATTCACTGTTGCATTCACTGCATCCTGGCTCCTGCTTCCACTCTTCTCTTAAAATTATGCTTCAGTGAGTACACCTCCTGATTATCAAATCAATCCAACCCCTTTCTCTTCTATGGCAAAAACATAGCTTTTATGTTTCACTTTATAAAATCCATACATGTTTATCACAAAAAATATATATAATAAGAGTATTATGGTTTGAATATAAAATGTCCCCCATAGGCTCATGTGCTAAATGCTTGGTCCCCAGGTGGTGGTACTATTTGGGGAGGTACTGGAAACTTTAGAGGTGGGGCCTAGCTGAAGGAAGTAGACCACCAAAGACATTGAAGGTTGTACCCCTTACCCCCAGTCTCTTCCTTACTTTCTGCTTCCTGTCAAACATGAGATGAAGAATGTTTTTCACCACATGTTCCTACTGCCATGATGTTCTGCCCAGGCATATGGGATGAAGCAACCATGGACTGAACCCTCTGAAACCTTGGAGCCTAAATAAATCCTTCCTTCTATAAATTGTTTCTATCAGTTATTTTTGTCATAGCTATGCAAAAGTAAGTAATTCAAGGAAGAAAAAAGGAAAACAAAACTTTACTCACAGACACCTAACAAGAACAACTTGTGAATACATATTACTATATGTATTACATGGAAGAATTTCAGATAGACAGATAGATATAAATGATAGACAGACAGATATAAGTGGACAGCTCTTAGGAATGCATATATATAAAACAAAATTGAGACAATACACACAGTATTCTGCTATCTGCTTCTATACATATAAAATACATATATGTAAATACATTCATGTATACATACATATACACATATAAAAGTATGCCTTAAGTATGTTTTTATTAATAAATATTTTCTGCATCATTCTTAGTAACTATATAGTGGACCATGGTGTGTATGCACCATGCCTTCGTTACCCATTTCTCTAGTGAAAGTTGCATAGCTTCTAACTCTTCACTAATTAGAATTCCACAGGTGAACCACGAAAGCACAGAGTAGAGACAGCTGTACACACAATGCATATGTCTCCATCTTTTTATTACATAATTTATCTATGATTTTACTTTCCTTCCTTTATTCTCATGGGATCATTTTATCTTGGATTTTATCCATCTTCTGTGAAAATTCCAGTCTTCACAATCAGATCACTTCTCTATACTACTTTACTTGTATCTCAAATGTGCATCTTGTATGTGTGCATGTGTGTGTGTATGTGTGTGTATGTGTATGTGTGTGTGTGTATGTGTGTGTATACGTGTATGTGTGTGTGTGTGTTTCCTTACCTATACACCATAGATTTCCATGTCTACATGCCTAACCAAACCTCTGCCCCAAATTGTGACCTCTTATATGCACTTGATTGCTGGAAGTGGAGGACAGTGGTTCACTCAGTTCAGTTGTCCCAAAGTATCTGAAACTATAGTTTGAAGCATAACACCCCTCCATCCTCAAGCCCTTTTGAATTCTTATTTGAGGTCCAGGCAGCTCCCAGTCTCCACAATTATACATAAAAAAAAAAAAACCCAAACAAAATAAAATCAATGAAATGCATCCTCAACTCTATTTTTATCCTTCCTTTATATCAATCAATATGTATTCATCACAGAATCTTCTACATTTTTGCAAAATGTACAATCTTAGATGATTACTCTTTCTTATAGCTACTGCTTTGTTTCAAGCTCTCTTCATCTCTGACTTTGCCTTGAGACACAGAACATATCAACTTTGTACTCCAAGCTGCCCCGCCAAGAGTGATTGTTAGAGTCATGCATTTCTTGTATGATTCTTATTGTATCGTGATCTATACTCCTACATCCTCCCCTCTACCTAGACTTTTGGCTCTATTGTCTTTACTATTTGCTTGATCCTTTGTGTATCTGCAATACAAACTTTCCCTCTTCTTTTGAAATATCTTCTTACAGATACAATTCTCTCTCTCTACCAGGAATACCTCTCCACACCACATATCTTTATGCTGCTTTTACCTTACCATTACCTCTGATCCTCCTAGATGTGGTTCAGGTGTGTTTGCTATTAGGTGTATTGTCCCTAAATCCCCTTGTGAGAGGTTCCCCTAAACCTTCACAAATTAACAGCATCTGGCAAGTGTTTACAAGGTCACTGTCACATTTTAAAGGAAAAAAATGACTGACAGTATATTTAAAGTATATTTAAAGATCTCTGTAGTGATCAATTGTTCTGTTTTTGGCTCAGGTTATTAAATAAATTAAGATACTGTGAAAAACAGTAAGCTATGCCTTAAAGGATGATATTGTACCTTTGTTATATTAATAGGATCAGGCTCTTTTCATGAATGTAATATAGTAATAAGCTAAAAATTTACTTTATTGTCACTCATTACAAAAGCAAATCTAATCAAAAGCAGGGCTTTCCTAAATCCCATCCTCAGGGTTTTAACTACCAGCAAGGTTATAAGATCCAGTCTATTATAAAGCAACTTAACTTCTGAAAAGGTTTCATTGGACAAAAGTCTGAAATTAAGCTCTAGTGTGTCAGAAATGAAAAGATTTGAAAGGATATATGTGTATGAGTATATAATACATAACACTTATATGTATAAATATATAAAATAAAATATAAGAATATATATAAAATTACAACATAATACTATATATACATATTTATATTGTAAAACATCTCCCAAAATATATAACAAGGGATGATGTTCAACTTTGATGCCAATCATGAAATTAGTAAAACTATGTTATCTAAAGTAGAGATCTCTTTGGAATCGTTAATATTTCCATGGGACTAAGAGAAAATGTTAGTGAGGCCATGACTTTAATGGCTTCCAAAGATGTCTAATTTTTAAAATTGAGAAAAAAAGAACCAGAAAAAGATAGGAATATCTAAGCTCACTACTAAAATCATAAAGTATATATGCATGTGTATATATGTATGTATTCAACAAATCAAAATACTTGTTTGATTATCTTTAAAAGTTTGCCCTTGGAGGGGAGTTTGGTGTCAGTGGGAGGGGGGAGGTGGGAGGGAAAGGAGGTAGGAAGGTGAATATAGTGCAAATAATGTGTACACATGTATGTAAATGCAGTGATGATACCTGTTGAAAGTGTTCCAGGAATTGGGGGAGGGGAAATCAAGCAAAGTGGTGGAGGGGGTGAATTCAAGTACATTTGATACATTGTAAGAATCTTTGTAAATGCCACAATGCACCCCCACCCAGCACAACAATAAAATAAGAAAAACAAGTGTTCCTTTGAAGTATACAGTATTTTAAACCTACACACCTACTACGCAGAAGCACATCATGTCTTCCAGATTTGGAGATGAGAGAACCAAGGCTCGTGGAAATTAAACAATTTACCCATGGTCATTCACTTTGCAGAGGGCACAACAAAACCTCTAATCCAGGCCCTCAAATTTCAGAGTCATTGCTTTCATAAAAAAAGAAAATTAACTTAGAAGTCATTGTGCTAGGCTCTGAAAGGACTCTAAGAAGAAGAATCTGGGCCACTTAACACTCTTAAAAAGTTTACAGCCATCCAAAAGTCATGCAGGCAAAAAGAAAGACATATAACAATGCTTTTCAAAAGAGAAGAATGAAGAAGCCATTAGGTGTGCATTTGAGCTGGGTGACAGAAACCATGTAGAGAGACTAGAGTAAAACAGCTACAGGGGTTCTACAACTCTCAGATATTGTATAATCAGTCTACCCACAAATCTGTGTAATATGCCAAATCAATCCTTATTCCAATCTCACACTCTGAGAATTCCTCAGCCTTTCACAGAATTATAATGAGGATGTTGGAAATGGTTATTGCCAATAGTTATGAATGTCTCTGCTTTAATACTGGTTAAGACTTTCAATTATAATCAGGAAAATGAACTTACTTCGAGAAAGATTTTCAAGGGCTTTCCCCAGCTTCTTGCTCTCTTGAAGGATGTGGTTCAATTCATCAAAATCACGGCTTTCTGGTTTAGTCCGCCAGTTCCACTTAGGATGCTCTACTGACTGTGGCACTATGTTTAAAAAAATGGTTATTTCATAAGCATGCTACATAATGATACAAACTTGCTCTTTATCATATGTGAAAGACTATACCAAGATCAGAATAAAAAATGGTTAACTTGGAGATAGTTTTCTGCTTAGCAAACAGAAGAAGAAGATTTAAAGTTGGGTTTGAAGAAAATATTTTAAATGAACATATTAAGGGAAGTGTAGAAAAAAAAGAAAATTCAGGTATTGATTTAGAACTAATCTTGTCTGTAACTTCAGGGGAAACATGCAGGCAAAGTTTATTTTATATTACTCTAGCAGCTTAAAAAATAATTACTGACTTCATCAGTAACTAGCAAATTTTTAGAGATATCCCTGCTATGTCTTCTAAAAAAACTAAAGATTAATTATATGCATTTACTTTCAGTTCTTTCCAAATTCCCTCTAAAATTATGTTACAGTCAAGAGGGGTTTTTTTCCTCAAAGAATTACTTGGATAAAGAAAAAAAGATATTTCAGGAAGATTTTTTTGAAAGATGGACAATAGATCCATGAGTGGTAAGGAGATTTAACAAGGTAGAGAAAACTGGAACCTACATTCCTGAAGAGAGGGATGCTAAATATTTAAATATTAAAGCATCAACCCAAGAGAACAATGTCAAAGTAATAAAGATGCAAGGATTTAATTATTTTCCAGATTTAAAGGGTACATCAAATGCCCAGCACAATTCAAGGTCTATTATTTAAAAATTTTAAATAGTAGCAATAGAGAAAAAAATGTAAAAGTTTTCAGGAACAAGAAAAAAATCAATTGGTATCAGTCTCCTCAGCAGCAACATCTGCCCTAGAAGCCAAGGGAACAATTCCTTCAAAATTCCAACAGAACATTACTTCTAACTGAAAGTTATAGCAGTTAAGGAACCAACTAAGATACTAACGGCTGCTAGCGGAGGTGCTCCAGCAAAATGAGTTAGTAAACCAAAAAAAAAAGGGCAAGAATTGGATGTCAGAAATAGGTGATTTCCCAAAAGGAAAAGAAAAGGAGAAATCTCAGATGATAGTGAAGTATGGTCTCAAGAGATAACTGAGAAAATATCTAGAAACCAAGAGTCAAAAATAGAGCAAGAGTATAGAAGGCTACAGGAGAGAGATCTCCAAACACTTCTGAAAGAATTAAAAGAAAAACAGAAAATAACAAAATATGAAATAGAAGTTATTACTACTTGATGCATCTGATATAGAGAAGGTTTTATTTCAGACAGAATTTGATGGAGTGTTAGTGATGGGTACATAGAAAACAAAGTAATCAGCAAATAGAAATTTGTTAATTCTAGAAAAAAATAATAGTTGGCCCTGTAAAGCTCAGCAATAAAGCAATTTAACTAATACAGTCATAATAATATGAATTAATAATATCTAGTATGTGAAATAAATGCATTAATATATTAAGATGAGATGGGAGTTGATGTATGAAGCACAAAGCATGGAGGAAATCAAGAGATTATGCCTCAAATTTAAAAGGTAAAAGAGCTATAGTAGTACCTTGCATACTCAGAAATGCAAACTTATGAACCAAAAAAACCCAACTAATAGACTTACAAATGTCTCCAGGTTACTTACAGAGGAGAGTTGGGGAGAAAGAAGGACAGTTAGCATCTAATAGTGTTTGACACTCTCAAATGAGACAGAATTTAAAAGTATTTATATGGAAACAATATAGGAAACAGTTTGAAATATTGAAATGTATCATTCTACCATCATTAAAAAATTGATCTGGCAATATTTGTTATAATGAAAAATGCCCAAACCCTGTGACCCAAATCTTATGTCTGCTACATCATCATAAAGAAGTTATAACACATGTATTTGTGTACATATATAAATTTGTTAATTTTCACAGAAAGTACAAGATCTTATTTGCTCATTTCAATAAATAGTTTGTGTGGCAAAACCCTGCAAATTATTTAAATGTCCTTCAATAGAAGAATGACTGAATAAGTTATGGCACATTCACACTGTGCCATAGTACGTAGTTATTGAAAGTTAAATCTAAGTTTATTACCATGGACTTATTTCCATAATCCATTTCTAAAGATAAAAACAAATTGCTTGGGAAGATTACAGTTTAAGTTCATTATTTACAGCAAATCAACGACGAGTTTTGTATATCTTCGTGTACATGAAGGCCACAGAAAGGTGAAGCTATTTCTAGGAGGACTGAATTTGGGGGGAGACAATATGGGGAGAGTATCTCCCTTTCCACGTGTCTGCATTTTTAAATTATCAAAATAAGCAAATAGTACTCCTGTAATTTAGATAAACTTTAAAAAATTTAAAAATAGAGTGCAGCCACCTCATCTGACCTTCGTACTCTAAGCGATGTGGGCCAGGGGCATCAACCAACGTGAACATACTGACTTTCAAGCTTAGCATAGTGAACAGAGACTATTTCAGTGTAAGAAACACTTCCAGGCTCACTCCACAGCAGATCCTTAAGAAGGACCCAGAACTAAGAGAGAGAGGATAAAACAGTATTTGTACCAGAATCTTCAAAACATTGTTAGGTACTTTTGTTAACCTTCTTTGAATCATTTCTCCAAGCTGCAATCTGCATAACTACATCATGTAATTTCTTGGAAACTACCACAAGCTTCAAAGGTGTCCTTGACTTCCCTTTTCACTTACAAAATAAAAGCATAGTAAAAAAAATAAAAACAAAAAATGTCTCCCTCAGCTTCATCCCCAGGATACAGGGGTGGTTCAACATACACAAATCAATTAATGTAATATAGCACATTAATAGAAGCAAAGACAAAAACCACACAATCATCTCAACAGATGCAGAAAAAGCCTTTGATAAGATTCAACACCACTTCATGATAAAAGCTCTAAGAAAACCAGGAGCAGTAAGAATGTGCCTCAATATTATAAAGGCTAAATATGACAAACCTACAGCCAACATCATACTTAGTGGAGAAAAACTGAAACCATTTCCCCTAAAATCAGGAACAAGATAAGGGTGCCTACTATCCCCACTCTTATTCAACATAGTCCTGGAATTCCTAGCCAGAGCAATTAGTCAAGAAGAAGTAATAAAAGGAATACAAATAGGTAAAGAAATTGTCAAAGTATCCCTATTTGCAGATGACATGATCCTATACCTTAAAGACCCAAAAAACTCTACCCAAAAACTCCTAAACACCATAAACAGCTTCAGCAATGTAGCAGGATACAAAATCAACTTACAGAAATCATTAGCTTTTTATACACCATCAGTGAACAAATTGATGAGCAATATATGAAAACAATTCCATTTAAAATAGCCTCAAAAAAATCAAATACCTAGGAGTAAACTTATCAAAGGATGTAAATGACCTCTACAAGGAGAACTACAAACCACTGAAGAAAGAGATTGAGAAAGAAAGACTACAGAAGGTAGAAAGATCTCCTATGCTCAAGGATTGGTAGAATCAACATAGTAAAAATGGATATACTACCAAAAGAAATCTACATCATCAATGCAATTCCCATCAAAATCCCAATGACTTTCATCACAGAGATTTAAAAAACCTACCCTAAAGTTCATTTGGAAACACAAGAGACCTGGAATAGCCAAGACAATACTAGCAAAAAGAACAATGCTGGAGGTATAACAATACCCAACTTCAAACTGTATTACAGAGCCATAAAGACCAGTGTAACAGAATAGAGGACCTGGATATGAACCCACACAGCTATGCCCACCTTATTCTTAACAAAGGTGCCAAAAACATGTGATGGAAAATAGACAGCCTCTTCAACAAATGTTGATGGGAAACATGGTTATCTGCCTGCAGAAAACTGAAACTAGATCCCTGTTTATCACCTTGTACTCATATTAACTCAAAATGGATTAAGGACTTAAATATCAGACTTGAAACTCTGAAGTTAGTACAGGAAAGAGCAGGGAATACTCTGGAAGCGATAGGTATAAGCAAGGATCTCCTCAATAGACCTCCAGCAGCCCAGTAGCTAAGAGAAATAGTGGATAAATGGGACTACATGAAATTAAAAAGCTTCTGCACAACAAAAGAAATGGTCTCTAAACTGAAGAGAACACCCTCAGAATAGGAGAAAATGCTCACCAGCTATATATCAGACAAAGGACTGATAACCAGAATATACAGGGAGCTCAAAAAACTAAACTCCCCTCAAATCAATGAACCAAAAAAGAAGTGGGCAACTGAACTAAACAGAACTTTTCAAAGAAAGAAATTCAAATAGCAAAAAAACACATGAAAAAATGATCACCATCCCTGGCCATATAAGGAATGCAAATCAAAACCACACTAAGATTCCACCTCACTCTTATTAGAACAGCTATCATCAAAAACACCACCAACAACAAACGGATACAAGAAAAAGGAACCCTCATACATTGCTGGTGGAAATACAAGCTAGTACAACCACTCTCAAAAACAACACTGAGGCTTCTTAAAAAACTAAACATGGATCTGCCATATGATCCAGAAATACCACCCCAAGGGATATACCCAAAGAAATACAACTCAGGTTATTCCAAAGGCACCTGCACACCCATGTTTATTGCACCACTATTCACAATAGCCAAGTTATGGAAAGAGCCAAGATGCCCCACTACTGACAAATGGATTAAGAAAATGTGGTATTTATACACAGTGGAATTTTACTCAGCCACAAAGAAGAATGAAATTTTGTCATTCACAAGTAAATGGATGGAACTGGAGAACATCATCTTAAGCAAAGTTAGCCAGACTCAGAAGGCCAAAAATTGTATGTTCTCCCTCATATATGGATTATAGACCTAAAACAAATGCAGTAATACTATTGGACATGGGTTACACACTAAGAGGAGAACACATACAGGAGGAACAGGAAAAGGGAAGAAAACCTAAAACTTGAAAGTGTTTGATGTGCCCACTGTAGAGGAGCAAATAAATTAATGTTAAACTGACAGACGCCACTATGGGAAGATGACTGGGAAGTAGTGAAGAGGTCAGGTAGAGATGAACCAATGTAGGTTGCAATACACATATGCATGGAAGCAATGTTAGGAATCTCTCTGTATAGCTATCTTTATCTCAAGCTAGCAAAAATGCTGTGTTTTTCTTATTATCTCATATGTTTTCTCTTCAACAAAATTAGAAAGGGGGCAGAACAGGTTCTGCCTGGAACTGAGGGGGTAGGGGCAGAAGGGAGAGATGGCACAATGTATGCACATGTGAATAAATGAATAAGCAATAAAAAAAAAGTCTCCCTCAAGATTCCAAATAACCACTAGACACGACCCAACTGCTCATTATCCCAACTGAGTCCAAGGTTTTCAAACCCACCCCTGATTGCACCATCATGGGAAAGTGCAGGTGAGACCAAAGGAACAACTGGATCATCAACACCAAAGCATGAGGAACTACATACTGTGACTTCAAACCTTGAGTTCTGAGGAGATTACATGTAACACAATAGAAAACTGACACAACTCCCAAGAACTTTTCCCCAGAAACTTTAAAGAGAAACTAAGATGAGTCTTTTTAAAGGTCTGGGCATGGTGGTACACATCTGTAATCCCAGGCACTTGAGAGACAGAGAGAGGAGGATCTTAGGACAAAAGCATGTGACCCTATCTGAAAAATAAACTAAAGCAAAGAGGTCTGAGGGTGTGGCTCAAGTAGTAGAGTGCTTGCCTAATGAGCATAAGACACTGTGTTTAATCCCCAGTATGACAAACATGTACACACAACAACAAAAACCTTTCTTTTTATGTTTTTGTAGGGTGGGATAATTCAATACATATATGGCACATGACTTATTGTAAGAAGCAAACTGAAGAGAACCAAAGCCACAGTATAGTCTCATCAACTGCATACTGATAAGTAATGGAAGGAGACTTGGGAGCTCAGCAGTCCAGTGCACAGCCTTTGGATGAGAACATCTCAAGTTTCCTGACACATTGAAATCTTTACGTATGTCCTACTTCATCTTAGAACCCAGTACTACAGTTGGTTTAAATACACTTTATAAAATTAACCTCGGGAGAAATGGAAAACAACAGAACAGTGCTACCAACAGAATATGACTCATGGGAGAAAATGACAGAATTTGAGGTCCCAAGGCAAAGCCCACTTCAGTGCAGGAGGCCACAGGACCTTGCAGGTAGACATTCCCAATCCCTGCAGAATGAGGTTGCTATGTCATACAATGGTCTATTGCATAATGAGCAAGGTCAATTTCAGACAATTACTTATTAGTCAAATTCTGACTCACTATGACCTCCACCAGTACTTTCTGTCAATAGGTTAAAAAATTTCCTATTTCCTCCAAATGACTTTTGAGGTACTGTTTACCCATTTCTTTGGTTTCAAATGGAAACTAGAAATCTGTTTTACTGATAAGTGTGTAACACTATACAACCTTTGCAAGGGGAACTGACATCATCTATTGGAGGTCAAAGTGCAATTCTACTCCTAGCTTTCTTTTTTCCTCTTCTTTTATTTAACTGACACATGAGAACAAAAACTGTACATATTTATGGGGTTCCACATGATGTTTCAATACATATACATATCATTGCAATATTTAAATCAGGGTAGACATATTACCTCTTAAAACATTTACCATCTTTTGCTGGTGGAATCTTCAGAGTCCTTTCTTATATCTTTTTGAAATATATAGCACATAATCACTACCTGCAATACCAGCACACCAGTACTTCTTACACCTATCAAACTCAACTTAGTATCCACTGATCAACTTATCCATATCTTCTGAAGCAAAATAATTTCAATTACTATTATACCTCTTAATTCTTTTCTAAATTTTAGTAAATGTTAATGCTATCATCTTAAAGTTCTCATTTGAAACAGACCAGGAAATATCCCAAGTACCATAATAATGATATATTGAAAATTGTTTACAGTGAGCTCATTAATTCAGGTCTTCTGCCTTCTGGATTTCTATCTCATGACTTTTCAGACATTGTTCTGCCATCTTCATTCTCTTGCATTTAAATAATTTGTACTTCACACACACATACTATACTTTCTTTTTTCCTAAAATTGTCATGGTAATCTATAAACATCCAGCTATTCCTCTGTATATTCTAGGCTAAAGCAGCAGTTCAAACAACAATGACACTTAGAAATAACTCTCTTAAATGCAAAGACATTAATAATACTAAGGGTTAATTTCAGTCTTTGATTTTAACCTAAACCTACATATCAACCTGTTTTCTCATCTGCATCATAAATATGAAATGTGAAATGACTACAAATAATAGCATATAATTAGCACAGAAAATTGATACATAATGTCCTTCTTGTCATTTCTGCCAAAATCTTACTGTCTGCAACCATGTCACATACTGTTTATTTTTGTAGCTGTTGTTTATTTGTGTGTTTGT